TTTTAGTTTTCTATAAGGTCCATTTTTCAGAAATTAGGGTGTCTAGTTTTTTCCTTCCCCTTGAGACTAATCTTTGTCCAAAGGCTCCTACAAGACCTTGGAATATGAGATAAATCAAGTATTGTCGTGAGCTTGGAAGATCTTGAAGGAGAAACTTTAGAAACGTAACTTTGTGATCTTTGTTATAGTGTTTTCTTTTAAAACTTGATCTGCATGTTTCTGTGAGTGTATGAAATTTGTGAAATCCTATTTTACTACGCGTAATACTAAGATATGTGTTGACACCAATTTGTGCTCTTATTGTTTCTTTGCAAATCTGTGAAAGCTTCTTCAATTTGTGATTCATACTTGATAATAATATGGCTTCTGCTAAGTTTGAAGTTAATCAGTTTGATGGAAAATGTGATTTCAATATGTGGGGTCAAAAAATAAAGGTTATTTTAATACAAATAAGGTGTGTTAAGGCCCTAGATGATAGTTGGCTTGCTAAGTTAGCTCCTGCAAAGAAGGCTGAACTTGAAGAAATTGCTTGGAGTACCATATTTTGTATTTGTTTGAAATTGTAATAAAAAGTATTGGTGAAACAAAGACTGCTTCTAAATTGTGTACTAAACTTCATGATAAATATGTGAGAAAAACTACTTCCAATAAATGCTTCTTATTGAAACAATTCATTTCTTCAAAATGGATCCTCTTAGTTGATTTGGATGAAAGCTTAAACAATCACAAAACTTACCCAAGACTTAGCCAACTGTGATGAAAAAATTTCAAAAGATCAGATGGCTGTTGTCTTGTTAAACTTCATTGGTGATAGATATAAAGATATCAATGTTTCTCTAAAGTATGATAGGGAAGAACTTATCACTAATATTATAATAAACTCCTTAAAATAAGACTCTAGAGATGAAAGTAGAGTCCACTAATAATCAACATGGAGATAATCTACTAGCAAAAGGAAAAGTATTTGGTAAATTCAATTATAACTCTAAACTTTACATTGAAAATAATAATAAGAAGTTTAGTGATAAGAACAAGTCCAAAAATAAGGCTAAAAGGAAGAAGTGTTATTACTGTAGAAAATTGGGTCATTTTGCTAAAGATTGTTTTAAGAAGAAAAATGATTCTAGAGAGAAGAAGTCTGATGATGGGAGTAATGCTTTAGTATATAATAGAGCTAAAGCTGAAACTGGTTTAGTCCATATTAGTATGAAAAATAACTGAGTGATGAATGGATCTTAGACTCAGGTTGTTCTTTCCATATGTGTCCAAATAAAAATTGCTTCCTTGACTTTGAAATAACTATAAGAGGGCAGGTTGTAATGGAAAATAATTTCACCTACCATAACTTGTTATTGGATAATGGTAATGTTCTATTCCTGAAAGGAACAAGGTATGTTCTTGATCTAAAGAGAAACTTGGTGTCCTAAGAAATGTTAGATGATATGGAGTTTTATATAAATTTGGGTCAAGGGCACATTAAAATTCTTAGGGGCAATGACTTATTCATTAGCTCTCCTAAGAGACATGGCCTTTATTTCCTAAGTGCCAAACCACTACTTGACTTGACTACTTTTACTTAATCTGAAAACTTTACACTTAAAGAATTATGACATGATAGACTTTGACCATATTGGCAAAAAGAGTTTGAATTTGTTACAATCAAAGGGAGTTTTTGGAAAAGTGAATCTTGGTGATTTTGGTCCTTGTGAACAATGTGTTATAGGGAACAAGTTAAACTACTTTTTCCCAGAGGAATTCATAAATCCAAACAAACTTTGGAATACTTGCATGCTGATTTGTGGGATCCTGCTATTGTGAGCACTCTATCTAGTTTTAAATATTTTTTACCAATCATTGATGGTTTTTTAAGAAAAATCCGGGTTTCCGTACTAAAAATAAAGATGAGACCTTTTTTTGTCTTTAGAGATTGGAAGACTCATGTTAAAAACCAAACGGATCACAAAATAAAAACCTTAAGGACATATAATGGTTTGGAATTTCATAACAATGAATTCAACAATCTTTGTAAAGAACGTGATATTTTAAGATACATAATATTACCTATATTCCTTAACAAAATGGAATAGCCAAAAGAATGAATAGGACTCTACTAAATAAAGTTAGATGCATGTTGTTGAGTTCTTGGTTGCCTAATTTGTTTTGGGGCAAACCTATTAAAATTGCTACATATTTTATTAATAGAAGTCCTACTAGAGTGATGAGTTTGTTTTGCTCATGAATTTTGCACAATTTTAACTTGATTATTTGCTAGATCTTGTGAGTATAAAATGTTTTTGATATGTTTGTTAGTGTTTTGAAGAATAGGAAATATGATGCAGAAAGAGGAACTAAAGCGGAAGAAGAAATCAAAAATAAAGAAATTGGAGCAAAAAGACAGTGCCTAGGTGCTCCAAAACTGAAGAAAAACTGAGATTTGAACCCGAGAGGCAGCGCTTAGGTGCTGTGCATAAATTGACACGGCACTTAAGCCGTGGTTCCTAGCGCTTAGGCGCGGTGTTTGGGTCGTCTAGGGCTCGTTTTTGGGCCATTTTAAAATTCATAAAAAATCCTTCTTTCTACACAAAATGGAGGAGACACCTATGAATACATCTTTCTCATACTTTTGAGGAGTTCTCCACACATTGGGAGATAAGACAACAAAGATTCAAAAGAGAAGTTCAAGAGGAATAACACCAAGCAATTGAAGATTTGAAGCATTGATTGGAAGGAGAAGGAGATCTTGGTGCAAGAATTTTACTTTTTCTTCTACATCTTTATTACAAATTCGGTAATGTATTCTAAGACAATTTACTATTTTTCTTCTTACATTATGAATGGTTAAATTTATTGTTAGGACGAATAATGTAACTAATTGGGATCCTTTACATTTTCTTATTAAGATTCTTAGTTTTTAATCTTTCCTTGTGTTGATTTTGCTATGAGTTGAATGCATTAAATTATCTGATCAATAATTTTATGATTTTTGTGAATTCTTTACAGTTAAAGATATGAGTTTAGGATTTAAATCATGTAGTAAAATACAGTACATTAATGGTATAACGAGTAGAGATGCCTATACCATATATTGTGGTCATAATTGAATTTCTAGGACAAAGAACTTATTTAACTAAGTTGAATTTGCATAGAGACATGGAATTTAATTAGTTGAATAGGCTCAATGAGAACTTGAGAGGGATAAACTGAATACATTAAGAGAATTTGATCGAACACTACATTAGAATTGAGTTTTAATTTGAGATGTAAAAGGTGATCAATAGGTAAAGTTATTCTGCCCTAACATCCATTCATTATTTGATTTTTCAACCAATCGTGTGAGCATTCATTTATTTTCTAGATTTTAGATTAAAACTCAAATCATACAACTTTTAATTTGTTTCCATCAAATAGTAGTTAAAGAAAAAATTGAATTAAGTGTTAGAAAATAGTCCTTGTGGGATCAACAATCTGGACTCTTAGGTCCACTATTATTTGTTACGGTTCTTACACTTGCGAAACTAAAGTACATAACAAGTTTTTGGCACCATTGTTAGGGACCATTACTTTTAGTCTTAACTTATTTTTTATTTTTAATTGTTATTTGATTTGTTTATTTTTTTATTTACAGAAAACTGTTTTCATTCACTACAACAAATAACCGATTTCGCGACAAAAAAATGTTGTCACAAAAAATGAGATTTTGTCGCAAAAGTAATTTAGCGACAATAATACGTTTGTTGCAGGTTTTGTCGCTCTATATGAGTCGCGGAATGTGCTCTGCGACACCTTTCGATAGTTCATCGCATTAAAAAAAAATCACTACACTGTTTGTGTGAGGCAGAAAATACGAAATGGCGACACAATATTTGGAGCCATAATGTCGTCGCAATGTATACATGCCACAAAAAATTTTAAGGGTGACAAGTTAGTTGTCACAACGAATATTCCAATAAAGTTTTTACGAGAATTATATTTGCTGCAAATGTTGAGTCAACGAATACATTTTGCAACAACTTTCGATCATTCATCGCATTAACAAAATCGTAACATTACTTATTTGCCGCAGAAAATATGAAACAGCAACACGATAGTTATAATTATAATATTGTCACAATGCGTATATGTCGCGAAAAAATAAAAGGGCGACATGATAGTTCGTTGCAATGATTATTCCAATAAAGTTTTTACGAGAAAAATATTTGTTACAAATATTCTTTTAAATGTGTCACTTTTGCTACCTATTTTGTTTTGCAACAACACCTGCACGCAGTAATATATTTTCAATAACAAGTAATATTTGTCGAGAAATATGTTTTACAATGTATTTGATATGTCGCATAATGTATTTTAATATATTCAATATTTGTAGTACAATATTTTATGTAACAAGTGATGTATGTATTTTAATTTATTTCGCAACACAAATAGTCTGTTGCACCATCATTTGTACAACGGGTATAGTTGTTGCCAAACTTATTTCGTAATTATTTATATACCTCACATATTTCATTTAACGATATATAATATTATTACGCAAAGTATTTTGTGACAATAAACTTTTATTTATATATCAAGTTGTGCTCGTAGTTAAATTTAGTCAGCAACACAAAGGGTTTGTCGCTTCAACGATGTACAAATGTCGCCTAATTGATTCGATTTTTATTTATGTATGTCGGAGATTCTATTTTAAACACACAATTTTCGATTTCTTTCATCGCAATAGAATCGTTATTGTGGTGCACATTTATATGAAAATGTAACATAACTAGAAATAACTAGTGACTTTATGAAGGACACGCTTCAACATACAATTATTAAAATATAATTGATATAAAAAAAATCATATCACTATCAACCAAATAAATATAGATCAAGGTATTATCTACAAACTTGGTTACCTCCAAAATCAAAACAAATACAAATAAACTATAGTACTAGCAATTTGAAGGTTGAGCTACTTTGAATAATTCGACAAACTTGAAGATTAGAAAATAGAACTAGGAATGTGGAAGAAATAATAAAAAAAACTCACGTGACACCCAAATAACATTCTTGACTCAATATACACTTCCAACTCTCTTTGGTTAAATGAAAACTCCTGTAAAGAAAAGCTCCACAACTTTAGTCTAACAAGTACATATAGAAAGTAATTAATGAAATACTAGCTTCAAGAAAATATTTCAAATATCTTACATTGAATATTAGAACAAGATCAACAACCATCACAATAAGTAATCAATATATTTTAGTAGCTGATTACTCTAACCTTAAATGTGAATAAAAATTATTTTCAACTCTCAGATGATGCATCGTCAGTACTCGAATCTACAGAGGGAAGGAAAAATGTAGATAATCATTAAAACAAAGAAAAGAAAAACATTACGCCAAAAAAGAAAGGCCTCTATATATATATAAAGAATGTTTTACTTACCAATATCACTATCACTATCACTATCATCATCTTTATCATCTACAAATTTCTCATCTTCACTGTAATATTCATTCAATGTATCATCTTCCTCTTCCGAAGTATCATTTATAACATTATTCATATTTTTATTTATTGATTCCACATCTATTTGTAATGCTTCATTTTCAATAATATCTAGATCAATATCTCCTCTATGGCATACTTGAGTGCCACGATCTTCCTGCTGTATTGGCAAGACAATATTTGATGATTCATTTTCCTGAAATATTACTTGCTCACTACCGCCATCATTTTTTTCAGGAATGTCCCATATCTCTCTATGCTGTACCTCTTCCACTACTTTCCACTATGGACCCAACAAAAGATCATCCATATAAAATACTTGTTGTGCTTGAATGCCAAGCATATAGGAATCATCCATGTACCATTTACGATTCACATTGATAGAAGTAAGATGGTAATCTATGATTGTTCTTTTTTTCTTTGAATTATTATCGTACCAATTACACTGGAACAAAGTGACGCGGTAGTAAAAAACGTATACCAACTCAATAACATCACATAGTATACCAAAAAAGTTGATGTTATCATCTCTCGGCACCATTACTACACTATTTTGTGTTGTATGGCAATCATCTCAATCTTTAACAAGGAATCCAACCCCATTAGCAATACAACTAGAACAAGAAAATATTCTAAAATCTAGTTTACATGCTAATGCATACAATTCTTTGCTTACAACCGAATCTTTTTTATTATATAATCTTGTTATCTGTGTAATAAAAACATATTAATCAATATACCTTCTGATACGAATGTTATGTTGCATTAATAAGTAGATAAGAAATGTATTATAACTTACATGTGAAGCAAACCATCCAGGAAACAATTCTTCTTGTTTTTTTTCCAAATTGTCATGATTTTGTTGTTGCAATAACTCCATGTGCTCACTACAAAAAGAACATGCAATTAAATACTATAACATATTAGTAATTAATAGCAAACAATTTAAAAGTTGATTAAGAACTTACTCTAAATATTGCCGAATTTCATCACAATTATTTAGGACATACCAATGCGCTTCATCAATTTCTTGTTTTGAAAGTAACTTTGGTTCTGCATGACCTAATAGCCTAGTATTTTGAGAGAAGACTAACAAGCTTGTAGATGTAGTCCCACCATCATCATTGAGCTCAGGTCGATTAAATCTTGTTTCAATATTGTTGAGATACATCGAGCAAAAATTCAAAGACTCATTAACAATATATGCTTCAACAATTGATCCTTCGGGTCGAGCTTTATTCGTAACATAACTCTTATATCGACCTAATATTCTGTCATCAAATATTACATGAAAAGTTTTTGAAAATAATAATTCAATGAACAAGTATATATGCATGGAATATTATCAATTACCTTTCAATTGGATACATCCATCTAAATGCAACGGGACCTCAAAGTTTTGCTTCTTCAGGTAGGTGAACAGCTAAATGAACCATTACATCAAAAAATGCCGATGGGAAAATTCGTTCTAGTTTACATAAAATTATAACAATTCCCTTTTCCAATTTCTCTAAATAATTTATATTCAATGTTCTTGAACATAATTGTTTAAAAAAAAAAACAGCAGAGTTCTACAATTGCAGTACAAACCTCCTTTCGCAAAAATTTTCAAATAACAACGGGAAGAAGTTGTTGCAACAACACATGACAATCGTGAGTTTTCAAAACTAAAATTTTGCCTTCATTTTCTCGAACACATTTAGAAATATTTGATGCATATCCATCAGGAAACTTCACAGATTTCAAGAACTTACAAAAGATTTTTTTTCCTCCAACGTTAATGTGTAAGAAGCACGAGGTTTCAAAAATCCATTACCATGTGGTTTTAAATGCAATTCTTTTCTAATGTTCATATCTTGCAAATCCAATCTAGCCTTATTCGTATCTTTTGTTTTCCCTTCAACATTCAACAATGTTAGAACAATATTATCACACACATTCTTCTCAATATGCATCACATCTAAATTGTGTCTTAGTTTCAATTTAGGTCAATACTCCAACTCGAAGAAAATTCTTTTTCTTGTCCAGTTTATCTCATTTGGAGTTCGTTTCCTTCTCCTATCTTTATTACTTGGGTGCTTTCCAAGTTTCCCACACTTCACAGCCTGTAATTGCTTTAAAATATCATCTCCTGATAATTTTTTGGGTGGTGGTCGTAGTTCCCATTTACCATCATGTAATTTACTTTTTCTCCAGGGATGGTTCAGTGGCAAATAACATCGATGACCCATAAAGCATATTTTAGTATGTACCCTATTTGAAGAAGTATTTTCATTATATATTGGACAAGCCTTGTATCCCTTAGTGCTCCATCCTGATAGATTTCCATAAGCAGGCAAATCATTAATGATCCACATTATAGTAGCACGCATAGAAAACATTTGACCACTATAAGCATCAAACGTGTCAACACCAACTTCCAATAATTCTTTCAACTCATATACTAGTGGTCTCAAATAAACATCAATATCTCTTCCTGGTGCATGTGGCCCTGGAATTAGCAATGACATCATAATAAACAGCTCTTTCATGCACTTCCACGGTGGCATATTGTATTGCACTAGAACAACATGCCACATGCTGTAGGAATTATGCATGTTTCCAAATGGAGGATTGAAACCATCTGTTGCAAGACCTAACCTAACATTGCGAGGATCTTGCATAAATTCTGGGTATAACTTGTCAAATTCTTTCCATGCCTCACCATCAGCGGGATGTCTTAAAACACCCTCTACCTCAACTCGGCCTTCTGCATGCCATCTCATATCTTTAGCGGTATGTCTGGATATGAATAATCTCTATAATCTTTTTTCAATGGAAAATATCTCAATACTTTTTGAGGCACCTTCTTTCCCTTTCCAAAATTAGGTTTGTATCGTGGTTCATCACATTCTAGGCATCTATTGGCAAATTCATGCTCTTTCCCAAATAATACACAATCATGCTTGCATGCATGAATATTTTCATAACCCAATCCCAATTCACTTAGCATTATCTTGGCATCATATGTTGAAGTTGGTAATCCAATATCTTCTGGAAAAACATTTTTTAGTAATTCCAATAACATGTTAAAAGATTTGTTACTCCACTGATTCAAAACTTTTATATGCATTCACTTCATCATAAAGTTCAATAATGACATTTCTGGTCAGGAAATAAAATTCGTTGGGCTTCAGTTATCATCTCCACAAACTAGTTGCTCTCTTCATTAGGCCTTTGAGGCGAAAAATTATGATTTCCACCATGTTCTTCCTCGTCCCAAGTTTGGTTAGCTTTAGATGACATGGGAGCACATAGATCTTCTAACATATCATTCATCTCATCAACATTTTCTTCTTCGTCTAATTCAAATGTATTTCTTTCAATACCCTCCATATTATTCTCAAGTTCTTCTCCATGAAAAAACTATCTCTCGTAACTTACAGAGATTCCAAAGTTGTATAAGTGAGATTCTACCACATCTAGTGATTGAAAGAATGCATTTTGACAATTTTGACATGGACAACGAACCTCATTGTTCTCATCCAGACATTGTTTTGCTACCTCCATAAATGAATTAATACCATCTAAATATTCTTCACTTAATCTATTATGAAGTCACATCCAACTCCTATCCATCATGTATATCACTTTATTTGCCTAGACCATATAGGATATGTAGTTAGTAATTTTTAGAAAAATAGCAAATATACAACTCAGCAATAATAATAGCAATTTGGCAGAAAAATAGCAAATATTCAAGTTTCTGGAAGAAGTAGCATACCATATATCTCTAGGACAAAAACAATTATTGTAGATAAGTGAACATTTTTTGACAAAGACAATTGGCATTTCATATGAAAGTGCAGCCCATTGCTACTCCTTTGTCCATGCCTAGATAGAGTTTACATAAAATTAATTTTAAATCAAAATTACCCAGCAAGTAAATGAAAATATAGAAAATATGGATATGTATATATCTATTTCCAATTCACAACTCGTCTCCTCATGTTTCCTTCTCCTCTATTCATGTTGGCATAAGCTAAGCACGATGCTTAGTAGATCAAAATTGTATACATGTAAAGTTACGTATTTTGTTTCATAAAATATTGTTGCCCTAGTTTGGACTCTTCTAGCAATGCAAAACAAGGAATTCAAGGGATGGGCTTGAATTCCTACATCAACTCTAATCATGTTAAGGCTATATCTAGGCTCGGACAACGGAGTAGCAATTGGTTGTCACTTTCATATGAAATGTCAATTGTCCATGTCAAAATTCTGAAAGACTTGAAGTTATATCTCTTTGTCATCTTTATCACGAGAGAAAACTTTGCACAGAGTTTGAGGGTACAATTTCTTGGTGGGTAATTTTCAAGTACAACTTCTTCGAGTGTCCATTTGAGGGCATAATCTACATTTTTAAATTAACTGAGTATGCATTTTCATGAATCGAGAGTAGCCAAATTTTCCTGTACAATTTCTTCGAGTGTACCGTTTGAGGGCATGATCTACATTAATTTTAAATTAACCGGACCTATTTAATAAGCCTTAATTACTATAGGTTCGTTTGTCTAATAATAATAATAATAATAATTGGAACCGTATGTTGTGCCTATCAAAGCCAACACAAGACAAAGATTCGAAGACAATGGGCTTGAATACATAATCTCGCAACACATTATACATGTCCATTTCTCATAATAAAAAGGGAAAAAAAATAAAAAACCAAAATTAATGAAATATTATTCAATTTATATTTTTAGACGAAATAAGTAATTGTTGTACAAGAGTATATAAAGATCTTGAGTTTGAAATTTGGGTAACATATATACGCCATGAAAACACATAAAAATAATTAATATTTATTGAAATAAATAGTTTTGCCAAACGGATTGCATGGGTTTTGAATTAATTTCTAAAACCATTATTATAAGTAAGGTTTCTAGCTACACTCTATTGTTAGGAAGCGATTTGTTGCATTTAACAACTAGTTAATTAAATCTGTTATAGTTATTTCATTGACTTGGTCATGTATATTTTAACAGAATATGATAATTAATTATATAGTGAATACCTAACTAATTGCATAATGTTTAAATCTTATCATCTTATCATTTATGATAAAATCTTACAAATGATATTTAACTTCTTCTCATTTTTTTATTAATGTTCAAATATTTTATATATTTATTCTTTGGTTACAAAATTTTATCTTGAAAACGGTGACTAATTAAAATCTAGCAAAAAGTCCACCTACCATTTTTTTTTTCAAAACGGTTCTATGAGTTGTAGATGGTTTTCTCAGGATATAATCTTCTAATATATTTCTTTTTCCCTTTTGGGGGAGAGAAATATTCTGTTCCAATTGGTTGTCACATAAGAATCCTTTTATAAAAATTTTACTTTTCTTTCCTAAAGGTAGCTAAATTAATTGTGTACAAGATTTTGTTTTCAATTTTTTCTCTTGTATTTGGAGGGAAATTTTCAAGTTCCCTCTCTTTTTCCCCCACTTTTCGTCAACATCTTTATCTTTTTATAAAACGTGCTTCTCATTTTTTAACTCTACATTCTCATTTTTTAGTTCTCTATAGACAAGGTATTTTCATTCAATCTCCAATCTAATGGTTCTTTTTGTGTATTTTCATTTTTTCTTTTTATTTTTGGTTTTTGAATCTAATATATTTGCATTTCTTGATTTCATGTTGATTCATTTCGAATTTCTATTGGTCGTTTGTCAAAGATTGCTGATATACTTATTCACAATCTAAGTATGTTTATATCCTTTTTTTTTCATCTAATGTTTTATAGAAATTCGTAGTGTTTGCTTTCTGTGGAGATTGTATAAATCTTTTGGTGTTCCCTTTTTTTCTATTACATGCTTGGTGTTTTGTTTGCAATATAATTTAATTTACTAGAAAAACAAATATGTGAACTGAATATGAAAAACGTTTTTCAAAAGGAACAGAAAATTTATCATCATTATTAGTCACATATGAAAAAAGTTTTTCCGTGAGTTTCGTATCCAAAATCTTCGGAAA